GATTACGAGCTGCGCAATACGACCTCTGGATCAATGGCATCCAAATGGTGAGGCACATTGTAATCTGATCGCAACGGCCAGTTTTCCTGGAAGTCGTATTTACAACTACATTAGGAAGTGAAGTTTAGATAGAGTCACCAAATACACTTACATCTCTTACCGGCAGCACTGGATGATTTAAAAAGCAAATAGTGGCACTGTACGCATGAGAGGACAGTATAGTAAAGGTTGACAGGATGCCAAAGTAAGCGTGAATACAAACCGAGTTGCAAGCTGGGTCATAAAGTGCCATCACAAGAAAAATACATTCATAAACGTCTAGACAAGGTGCTTTTATTTATTTGTGTTTTTAAAAATCGTACTCCTATTCAAACAGTGAAAGGCATTTGACTATGTGGCTACACAACATCTAGATATTACTGTTCGACTACATCTCTGTAGATCCCTGATCTGGGTCGAGGCATACGAGCTGCAAATGTCAGATCATATCTTTTAGACTGTAAACAAACACATTTAGCACATTGACTTCAAGTAAGTGTTTCATTCAGTTGATTTGAGAGATGAGGCATGCATTTCCTGCATGTGCTTGTGGCTCATTATCAAATCTGTAGCCACATAAACAACATCCTGATGCAGATGTCATAACACGATTTTACCAGCACTGCTGGATTTTTTGCTATTAAATTGAGTGATTATTGGGAGGCTATTGAATCTTTTGAGTACCTCATAATCTATTCAACCTTATAAAACCTTTTGAAAATCTCAAATGTATATTATATTATAGAATATAATCTTTTGGCCCCTTGAATTTCAGTGAGTTCCTTTGAAATACTTAAGCATTTTATCTATTTGTTTTTAATCATTGTGTAGATTCTGCGGTAGATTCCCATTTGCATATTTTCCAATGGTTAAATCATTAATTCTTGAAATTTATATATTTAAATTAATGTTGTTGTTGTTTTAACTGTCAAATAATATATCTAATACAAGCTCATTTCTGCCACATAAAAAAATCACGCTTTGGTAATTCATAATTCGAAGTTATGACATATACACTAAGCCATAATAATGAAAAAAATATAAAGTTGAAATTATGAGATAAAAAGTATGTCAAAATGGGCTGGCTTAGTATCTCATCATTTTGACTTTTCATCTCAATATATTAGTATATCTTAAAATAATTATGAGTACCTATGATAATGACTGAGAATGTTTAATCTCATAATGAATTAGTATCTCGTAATTTTCATTTATTTTTTTTTTATTAATTTTTTTTTTCTTATTTGGCAGACATGGCGTTCCATAATAAGACAAAAATGTTGATATTTGGATTATTATTTGATTTTATTCATTCCCACGACCAGGAGCCTTTATAACACAAATAAAGTTGAGCAAGAAATGTTCAGAAAATGAAGCCATAAAATGGTAACTTATTAGACAGCGTGACAGCCAAGGAAAAACACATAAAATGCAAAAAGAAGAAGAGGCACCCAAACGTAGGTGAATATCTATGAACGCGTTAAACAGAATAATCTAAAACCAGTTTATCCTTCTGCTTTAGTATTGTGTTGTTTTTGTTTTAAAGGTCTCTGCTGATTTAGAGCAGCAGTTATAGTCAGATGTGCGTATTTAGAGTTAGATTAGCTTGTTCAACTCTCGTTAAATTTCACGGTGTTGTTTGTCAAGTGAGCAGGTCTCGCGTGAGAGCAGTTTCGCGAGGACACCTTAAACACATTAAACAAATCCATCATTAACCGACTCTGCGCTGCTGCGTCACTTCCTCTGGCATGTTCACGAGCACTGCTGTTTGTTTTTAGCCTGTCAGCTGACAAACTACATGTCAAAACAACCGAGCTAATTAAAATAAAATGATACATAATAAATGGCATCACTACATGCAATAACGATGAACTACGTTAAAGCACGGAAAGAATTGTATTTATTGTTTTTACATTTTTTTTTTTTTTTTTTTTTTTTGGAAAAGCTAAAAACAAACAAGTGCGTGCTCTTCGTCTTTCAAAACACCCAAACGAATGACTTAACGTTAAATGGTTTGAATTACATTTAGAGAATGCAACTTACTAAAGTGAAATCCCTCCCCAAACACTAAGCTGCTTAGCTAGAAGAAGATAGCAAATGGCTAATTTGAACACTGTAAATAAAGATGCAGGACCATGACATCCTATCATGCAGTGTCACTCGGTGTCTAATGTTGTATTTGTCATCATATACTCACTGTTTGGATCTTGGTCTTGGCCATGGACGTTCACAGGCAGATGTCTCAGTAATGTTGTCATTACAGAGCTGTTAGTGGATGGCCGCTGCTGCCTCTCTCTCCTGCCAGCTCTGACGTCACACCACAACAACGTCTCATGCAGTGGAGAAGTTGCCGTGAGAACTGCAGTACGGGCTCTCCTGCCAGCAGAGGGCAGCACAGCACGGCCGATGAGTGAGACAGAGACTGTGGATTTTTTCAGTTGTGGATTTTTTGTTCGGCTGTTGAAGCAACTGGGAAGACAAAATAAATGTCTACCTGTTAATTGATTTATTTATAATGAAGTTTAGCCTTGGTGAAGGTTACTTTCATTCATTCGCTCTTCCATGTACAAGCTTACCCTAAAAGTAAGTGTGTGTGTGTGTGTGTGTGTGTGTCGACTCTTTTTCAAAATCTTTTTCATTAAACCCTATCCACAAGTTTCCTGCGCCCCATGAGGCCTTGCGTCAAAAGTGGGCGCGTCTTCCGGTTCGAAGTAAACAAAGCGCGACTTGACATACTTCACACTCGTTCATTCGACAGACATTCAAGTTATAGCGATCCAAACTTGCTAACGATGTGGGAACACAACCTCAATGAAATTAAAAAGGGTGAAATAAGTTACCCTCCGCAGTTGGTTGGGAGTATTATAATAACATTATTAATAACCAATACTAATCAAGGCATGGTGACAGACAGTTGTGTGAGCTGACAAATAATTAAAATAAAAAATACACACTTAGTCATTGTGCTTTGGAGTTTATTCAAAATTATAAATGAATGTGCTACTTGAATACATTAAGTGGCACTTTTGGTATTCTCAGGCTTTAATCCTGAGTTTAGGTGTAACATCAGTAGCGAACAGCCAAACACATGCGGATAAACCTATAGAGTTTATAGAATATTAAGAATTTAAACAAATGTACACAGGAAGATTCGTCGTCTTTTGGGAGGTGATGGAAATTAACGTTACAGTCGTTGGCAGGATCACTCTGATTTCGTTTTCGGCTTATGTTCAAAACAATCACGTTTAAGCCACTGAATTAGTTCTAGTCCGGTTATATACAACCGCGAACAGCACATGTTGTCCCTGAGCTCCGTAACGACATCTCTCATAAAGATTTGCGTCTTTAAATAGTAAAATAATTCTCCGAAAAACAGCTAGCCTCTTCGCTAACTAACACACAAAATACCATTGGAATGCTACTTCCGCCGCCTCACCGGAAGTTTCACCCACTTTATTTTTTACAGGAGCGCCCCTCGGAAACTTGTGGATAGAGATGATTGTAAGTTGAAAATTCCTGAAGATCCTAGGTTTTTTTTGTTTTTTTGGGGGGGATCGTAAAATGAAACGTGACCGGAGATTACAAAAAACACGAGTTAATGTCGGGGTAGCTTTTTCCATGGATAGAGCTAATGCAGGAGAAAGAGTTCAAAAGAGACGCTGAAGTCCTGCTTTCTTCTCGACAGGTAAGTCAATGTTACAGTCTTAATTACAAGCTTTTTTTCATTGTTTGGTTGTGTACTTTATTATATAGACAGATGAACATTTATAGTTAAAAGTTGATGATGATATCTAATGCACGTAAGCTACTTCATAAAATATAATGAATAAAGAAGGCTTATTACTTATTACAATAGTTCATGTTTTTCAGTCAGTATTCATACTGTAATATTAGTTCATTTGTTGTGTCAGGTTGCTGTTTGTTTGAAATAACAAACCTGTTCACCTGAAGGAACACTCCATGAAGTGCTAATCCTGTCATAGCTTTTTGGTACATAACAGTTACTGTAGATGCAACGCGCGTTTCAAAAAGCAAGGCGCTGGAGAGCACAATTTGTCTGAATGCAAAATAGCAATTCCTACACATAGTCCCTTTAAGATTTGTAACAACATGTGAAAATGTTTACATCAATTAATGTGGATAAATATCAGGTACAGTATATAGCTGTACATTTCTTAAGGAAAAAAAAAATCTCTCACCAATAATGTAAACATACAGTGAGCTGGTACTATTATTAAAGTTTAAAATTAACAACTCAAATAAATATAATGTGTTATAATTTTAATATAGTTATAATATTTTTAATGATATGAGTAAAAATATATTATGTAATATAGGGCATATTTAACTTGAGGGCTTTGAAGATAATTGGCCCCAGCGCCTTTGCAAGTCATGTTCACTTCCGGCGCTTTCCAGCACTTGCACAGACCGAAGTGTCCGCACCCTCAGATGACTTGGACGTGGCTGTGGTTACAAGAGGTAAAAGCGATATAAATACTGTTCATTTTCTCACACAAACCGCTCGTTTCGTGTCTTAGGCCATCAATGTGTACTTACATTTACGAGTCATTAAATCATGTTTAATTTGGACTTCTCTGTGCATGCTCTTTGAGGTGGTGACCATAGACCTCCATAATATGACTGACAGACAAGAACAGTTTGACCTAAAAATATCAAAATTGAAACTACTGCGGAAACAAAGACACCTACATCTTGGATGCCCTTGAGGTAAGCTAAAACATACCAAAAAGTAATTTCAAAGTGAGCTTCCCTTTAAATCACATTTTCTTTTCTGATGCTCAGTTTGAACTTCGGCAGATGCTCTTCACCATGTCTAGCCCAGTTCCTGCCATGTGATTGGCTGATTAGATATTTGTGGTAAGGAGCAGTTGAACAGGTAAATAAATTGGCTTGTGAGTGTGTCACGCAGTGTTGTTCAGACACTTTGCAAGAAGCAGGGATCAAGATCCAAAGAATGTTATTTTTAATACACCAACCAAAATAAAGCGATTCCTAGGAGTTACACAACTTAAACAACAACTTAACGACTAACAGCCTACCATAGCCAGCACAGACTCAAACTGAGAGATTAAATACACAGCAGACAAAGGGCAAAACTAACTAGATCATTAATGAAACACACCTGAACTGAAACTAACACAATCAATTAGAAACCATAGAAATAAACAGGAAGAGAATGGAACTAATTTAACAGCCTGAGATTAACAAAGAAACTCAAAAATGAACAGAACAGATCAAAAAATGGGATAGATATACACATATACACACACACTCCTAATTCCCCCATGTTAAGTGTATAGGGTCATTTTTCTGCTGGAAAATTAAATTAATGATACAGATTCAGTTATAAGTCATTCAAAAAAAAAAATCACACTCTTTACATATTGTGATATATTTTTTTTCAATAACCTTGAATTAGACTGAATTCATGTGTGCATTGCTAAATATCATCTATTCTTCTAGGTGAAATTGCTTTAAGTGTTAGTGTGCTTTTCCACATGAAATGCACAAAATGTATAAATATCACAAATAGAAATATATTCAGCACTAATGAAACAGAATCTGAAGAATCACATCACTGCACACAAAACCTCAAACCTCATTTGAGCTACTTTTACACCTCTTAGCATGGACAACTTGGTAACATTATTTGAACTTGATAACATTATTTGAAAAGAGCTTGTTTTATAACATAAATTCTATACTTCAAAAAGTGAATAAATGCATTAAATGTCACTTCAGAATGACCACATGTCATAGTCTACTACAGATGTCTTCATGCATTTAATCCCTGAAGGAGTTTTCATCCAGCTCTATATCTCTGGCGATGGTGGGGACGGGGCTTATGGGAATGTCGGTGAGAGTGCAGTAGTCCTGTTTCGAATGCATAGGCGTTGGGTTAATGATAACTGGTGCTTCAGAGGCCTCAAAGTCCTCAAGGCTCTCAAGACTAAGAGCAGAGTCATTCAGAGACAGAACATCTCCACTCAGACACGCCACGCTGAGGGACTGCATGAAGTCGTCCACTTCATCTGGCAACACTTCACATAACAAAGACAATTCCTCACACGGGATACTCGTCTCACTGCACGTATCGGGCATTTGGCGTGGGGCCCAGACCTCAGCTGTGGGGCCCACATAGGGTTGATGGCACTGTGCTGCGGGATACATGCCCGTTTTCTCTACCTGATCCTGTAGTGTAGATATGACCTCGGAAATCTTGTCGACTGTTGAAAAGTCTTCTATAACGTGAATGTCTTGTAAAGGACTTTTTGCCAAAACCCAACACTTTGGGGGGGGGGGGGGGGGAAGAGGATAATAAAAGAAGAAATATTAATCTGATATGAATATGAGGATATATCTTACACACACACACACACAAAAAAAAAATATATATATATGTGTGTGTGTGTGTGTGTGTGTGTGTGCGTGCGTGTTCGTGTAAAAAATACGGTATAAATATATACATTAATTAAATTAATTGATATACTTAATATTGTAGGATAACATAAGTTTCTGAATGTTTTATACAACTTTTTTCTTTCTTTTTTACATATATTTTTATGTTACTTTGCGTTTTTCGTGTACAGACAACATGGATCTCCATGAAAATGATTAAAAACTTTGTATTATTCTGCCAAACCAATAAATGGCAATGTAAAGAAACACTCCACACCTTTAAACTGAACACGTAATATGCATGGGCTTGACATGTACATACTCTCTCTGTGTGTGTGTGTGTGTGTGTGTATATATATATAATCACATACATACTTTTTAAAATATCTGTATCTAAAAATATCTATCTGTATCTAAAATAAAATGCACTTAAAAAAATATTTATCTATACATGAATTCATATTATATTTCAGTGGTTCTCAGTGTTTTACATATATATATATATATATATATATATTTTTTTTAAAGTGATAACTTTACATGCGATTTATTTTCTCACAAGCCCCTTGTTCTCATTTCATGTACCACCAACGGGTTCAAACCCTCACTTGGGAAACCCTGGTTTTGAAGTCTGAAATCTTACCTGAAAATTGCCCTGGTAATTTTGATAAAGAGGCTGGAAGTACGTTGCTGGTGTCGGCACCAATGAAATTTCTTTCATCTTGAATCTGCAATGAATAAATGTCACATTATATATCTTTCCTTTCTCACCTGTTGGTGTATTGGATCATTTTGCAGTAAATTTGTGGCAATAGCAGATGTACTGTATGATAAACAATTACCTTGCAGCAGGAAAAGATAGAAGCAGAATTAGAAGTCCCAGTATTAAAAATATTCCAATGGCAATCTTTCTGACTTGAATGGACTCATCTTGTACTGAAAAACAACAAATAAATAAAAAACAATAATAATATTAATAAAATTGAGGAAAAAAATCAAAATAAATTTGACCGATCCCAGTTTGTTTCATTTTAAAGGTGCAGTGAGCAATTTCTGAGAAACTGTTGATATTTGAAATAATCCCAAACAAACACACTGCTCCCTTCATTGCTCCGCCCCCAAATGTATGAAAACACAATGCAAGAGTGGATGTCTCTTTATCGTAGCTAAAGCAAAATAATGCTTCAATGACACTCAGAAATGACAACAGTATATTTTTGTTCTGTGAATCAGCAAAGCCAATGCTACCCAGAAACAACCCAACCACGTCCATTTTCAGTCCTTCCCACTTAGATCTCTCCAGCTCTCTTTTCTAATATTAACACGGGTCCTAAAGCTCTTGCTTGATCATAACCCTTCTTTTTACAGTGATTTACTCTGACCTTTTTTTCTTTTGTAATGTCTCTCAAACATTAGTCTTTTTTTAAGGCCACGTCCACTCGAAGCCAGAGCTTTCCGACGTTCTTCATATAGACCATTTCACAAGATGTAAACAACACTGGTCCAGAAGCACTTTCTGTTTCAGTTTGTAACTGTTTTCTTTATTTCACATGTAAAAAAAAAATCTCAAAGATGTTTGTTTAACTTTTTGATTCAGTTTTAAATGTTCTGTTGGTTGTATTTTATCCCAGCTTTTATGTAGTGTTAAAAAAACTTTACATTTACATCTTGTGAAATGGTCTATATCGGTGTGATCGTAGATCGTACGCCTCAGGGATCAGCCAAGACTGATCACACTGATGTGATTGTACGTGCTAAAGGGTAAAAAAAAAAGGCTCAGGCTCCCAAAACGAAACGGCGATATGATACAATTTTTTGTACAAGGCCTAAATCTCCCTCTTGCTCACTCTCTCTCCCCTCCCCCATCATGAGTGGATACGCCCCCTACTGCTGATTGGCTACAAGTGTGTTGTGCTGCTCTGGCCAATCCACTATTAACAGCATTTTTTTTTTTTTTTTTTTTAGAAATTGCTTACTGCACCTTTAATCTCTCAGCAAACATATAGATTTATATAAATCAAGTACATGAGAGTGTAAATATAGATATGATCATAGTATTCACCTCTGTATGGCGTATTCCACTTGACTGTGCTGCTCCAGTCGCTCCACGTTCCACTGTATTTGTGTGTCTTACTTATCGCATTCCTCACCATAGCAGTGTACATAGTTCCAGGATCAAGCTTCATTTCATCAATCTCAATCATCGCAGTGCTTGGATGAACAGTGAACTCCTTCAAAAAAAAAAAAAAAGAAAAGTAATGTCAATGTGAAACCATTCATAGAAAACATTCATTTTCAAAGCATGTGGGTGAAACTGAGGATGTTCTTTGAGAACACACACTATGAATGGTGGACATTTACAGCTGAATCATCACTCTAATTAATCTTACGCTGTCATTTTCTGCATCTTTGTAGTACAGGAATTGGTACATGATGGGTAGAAACTTTTGGAACCTATGACCTTCGTATCCATTCTTCCAAAAGAAACGATACGTCCCATTTACATACTGTAACGTCAGATTAAATGGGGCGTTTGGCTTAACTGGGAAAAGAGAGAAGCTTTAAAGTACGTGAAATAAAAAAAAATAAAAAATTCTTTAGTTACATAAAGATTTACTCACTGTTTTTTGCTGGACTAAAATTATCATCCAACAGAGATGAATAATTACTGCCGTTTTCCAAATAATGAAGCGTCACATTATAAACATAATAATCAACCATTTTAACTACTGTGAAATTGCAGGTGTGATCTTCACCTGCTCTCTGGAGTGGGCATCTATACGTCCTGTGTGTGTTGGCAGAATCTGGCTCAGTACTTGTAATGCACACAAATTCAACTGAAAAATAGTGTATGAATTACTAAACAGATCATGGTAATGAATCACTGCTTACTCGTTCGGCCTTTTAAATTCCAACCAGTATGATGTGTTTCTAGTGGGTGTGACTGTTAGATTTAAAAAGCAGCTGATGTTTTTCCAGTAATCTGTCACACAGATGAGCCCCTTTGTCAGAGCTGAAACATGAAACAGAAAAATGGTCACATATTTTTGGAAATACTACATGTAAAATCCATTGTGACTATTTGAGAAGCCTTTTTTTACCCTGTGAACTGCCATTTATTTCCACTAAAAAAGCCAAGAAAATGCAGATCATTCCAGTGCGGTTCATCATTCTTGTAAAGGATTGTATGTACACACACTTCCACGTTTCAACACATAATCCAGCATGCAACTGAAAAGACCCCATTGAAAAGTTAGCCATAAATGAAACAATTAAACTGATAAAGAAACACTTTCAATGTAAGTCCATTAGGTATTGTTGATTTAATTAAAAGCCAAAACACAAATCATATGTCTCATACATTCCTGTACTTAGGCTTCAAATTTTAAAGAACACATGTTAGAACAGACACAATTATCTCAACTCACCAAATTTATTCTGAAGCATTGGAGACATATTACATAATAGCGTGAAAGTTGACATCTGTGGCAGTGAAGGGCATCAAGTTGGTTTTATACACGGAGAAGTTCCTGTTTATGTAGGAGGTCTGAACCTCAAAGTTATCTGAAATCTCTGATTAGTAGTTTAAGATGGCATCACAAGGTTCTCACACACACGTGGAACCACATGGTACATTTTCACATTAAGTTAAACTGTCCTGGTGAATACCTTCTTAAGAGGAAATACACTCTAAAAAAGTTGCAAGTACAATCAACTTGGATGTTTAAGTCATTTCAACTTCAATTACTTTAAACTGACTTGAAAAATGTGCTGATTCTTGCATTATGTTATAAAAAGGTTGAAAATGCATGTTTTCATAACTTATGGATCATATCATTTTTTACAGTGTAGGCTACAAAAATATAAAACAATGTAAGTAGAGAAGTCTAAAGGGATATCTCTTTAAAATTAAAATTCTGTCATCATATACTCGCCCTCAAGTTGTTTCATACCTCTATGAATTTCTTTCTTCTGCTGAACACAAAGGAAGGCATTTTGAAGAATGTGAGCAAACAGTTAACTGGACGCAATCTCGGGTTGTTATTCACTTGAATGTTTACACACAAGTTAATATGCTTACATTAGCCGCTTTCCGACCGGAGGGACTTTTGCAGTTCCTAGAACCTAACGTTCCTATAACCCTTGGGATTTTTTAGTTCCTCAGACCGTAGTTCCTATAACTCTTTCAGTACCGAGTCTAGAGCAAGGACTTTTTTTAGTTCCCTTTCCCTAGGTCTACGTTGATTGGTTTAACTTATAAGTAGGGTTGGGTATCGAGAACCGAGTATCGATTGGAACCGAGACTAACTTTTCGTTTTTCCCGGAATCGTTCAAAAGTTAAAATTTCGATTCCTAGTTTCGATATTCACAGTCCGCCGAGCGGAAGAAGAAACCGCTGAACAACACCAACAACGAAGAAGCGTCTACCGGAAGTGTTGGCATAACCACGCGAGTCGAACATGAGTACCTTACGTCGGCGATCCAAAGTGTGGCTTCACTTTTCTAAAAATAACGAAATCTTGGCAAAATGCAAAATTTGTGACAAAAGGAGTATTTTTACAGAAGGAATATTTCCTTCAGAAAGGATTATTTCCTTCAGAAAGGCCGTTGGTTAGCAAGGTTAGCTAAACTTTTTTGACCCTGCCTCTTAAAAGAATCGGAATCGAGAATCGTTAGGAACCGGAATCGAAACAAGGAATCGCAATCGGAATCAGAATCGTTCAAATTCAAACGATACCCAACCCTACTTATAAGTCATGCCCACTGTCAACACGGACGGAACTTGTAGCGCGCTGTCTGCCATACGCGGTGTGTTTTTGCAAAACAATACAACGAGGATTAAGACAGACAAACATAACGCATTCAACCAGCTTATTGCTAATGCTAGCTAAACTTACCCGTCGTTTTGTTTGCCTCATGCGCTCTGCTCTTTTATCTTCTTCCATCATATTACTTAATATCATATTACGCTGGAGCCTTCGTCTTCTGTGTTTCTCTGTACAGAACTCAAGCATAATCTTTACGACGAACGTCGCCGTTCGTTCTCCGTTATTAAGGTCCCGGCAAGGCAGAACAGGAACATTGCAATCGGTCTTTGTTTTCAGTTTTTTTATTTTTTTATTTTTTTATTAAGAACAATCTTAGTACAGACATTTATGTATACAGCAAAATTAACATACAATATATAAATTACAAAGTCTTTCATACTAGGGGGGTTCATTTCATATTTAGGAAAGCTCAATTTCTTTCCTAAATAACAGGAGAATTTGCATTTATGAACATAAAATTTTGCCATTAAAAGAATGAAATTAATTAAATAATTCGGATTGTGCTTAAATGCTGGCTTGTTGTTGTTGTATGTGGCCGCGCTACGTCTAGTGATGACCCCTTCGCCGTGCTTGCGTTACCCCTCCCACCAGTTCCTATGGCCACTTGGCCAGTGCGAACGCAAGCAGCAAAACCGAGTTTGGGGGAGAGTAGTTCTTCTATAACTAAGTTTCTGTAACTACTTGGTCGGAAAGCGGCTATTGTAGATTTATTTTACTGTGACTGGTCTTCTTTTCAAGAGTCAAAAAAAACTGTCAATAAATCTACAGTTCCAAGTCCTTCACCAGTACAGATTTCCGACTTGCATAGCATGTCATAGCATGTAGCGTAGCATAGAATAGCATAACATGACGTAGTGATCAAAAAACTGTTGCCGTCCAGCAACACCTGTCACCTGTTTTTCTTCTTCTTCTTCTTCTGTTTAATGGCGGATCATATCTTCACGATATATATCTGCATTCATTGCTCCTGTAAAATATTATGAATGTCATTTTGTGCATCAAACTCTTTCCATGTCTGTCTAATTCAGTCAAATTTCTTACATTTAAAGCAGCACTATGTCGTTTTTTCAACCTTCATAATAATTTTCCAAAACCCTTGACATGGTACATCGACTTACAATAGGTTGAATGACAGGTTTGCCATAGCCCGACGGTGTCTGTATCGCTTTTACTGGCACTCTGTAACTTCGGGAGCGAGGAACCCGAGCACAAAACGAACTACAAAATTCGACTGCTTTACGGCATACGTCACTTCCCCTGTCTGCAGTGCAGACTGATAGTCATGTTTGTTATTTATTTTTCTGGTGAAAGCGTCTTGCCTCAGGCTATAATGCAAATCGATTTTTCAAATTTTCAGATTCATCTATGGTAGCTTGATATTATAATATTGACGACATGGCTATTATCTACCAACAAACATTGAATTGAATTATCCATTATGGAAAACAGTAGCCAATAGGCTAGCGTTAATATAAAGACGCTGGCTTGTAAACGTGAGTTACGCGATCTTTTGACGTTTGAAAAAAATAAAGCCCATGACTATATTCATATGACATGCTAAAATATATGCCAATGTACCTGACATTTCACACGCAACACTGGAGTCTGCCCAAGATTTGAGAACTCCTTCCTTCTGCAGAGTTTGGGGGTATCGCTTGTCAACAAATGCACACGTGTGTATTCCCTAGTGTAACCATGACAGATTTTACGACAGTAGTAGAAGACAATACTGTTTCCCAACTGTAGGGGGACCCCGAGAGAACCTGTAGTATTTTCGAATTACCATTCTTTCCACCCTCATATCCCCCTGAGACGAGAGATTTATGTATTTTTTGTCTGGAAAAAATCCTCTAATGACGCAAAAATCATCAGATTTTTTGGCCAGAGGCTAAAGACTACAGTCAGTAGGCGCTGTCCCACATGTTTTCAACCCGCCCATAGAGGGTGGGATCTCACTCACAGAATGTACACATAGTGTCAGCCATCTTTTTTTGTAAGCTAAGCTTCTGTGGAGAAAGCTGAGTAGTAGGGGTTACCATCCTCTTTTTCCTGGACATGTCTGGTCGTCGATGTCCGGGATTCAGCTTTAGCTTTCTGCAGTCACCATGCAATTATTTACACGCACAGCTTTTGTTTTAATCTAACTGAATTCATTCCATTGGTGAATCTGAATGTAGTGTTTACATGAACGCTAAACAAGTGATCGGTTGGTGTTGGTTTTAACATTGCTAAGAAAATTCCGGCTTCTCCGTGAAAGATACGAGACCGGTGCGTCTCACAGGTGTTGCTCATCGGTAATCATGCCACCGGCCTCGCGTCGTCCTCCCGCTCGTGCTCGCCACAGTAAACATGATGAATGGCGACTGTAGAACGCAAAAGCCGAATCCCGGACATTTTGGGTGATCTCTGGGTGAACACTTTTCGGCAGACTCATCACGGAGACTCACTAGTAGCCTAGACTTGTTGTTTAACTACTGCGCTCTGTTACCGATAGGCGTGGCCTCCAAGGGCAGTGACGCAAGTGCATTCTGGGAGTTGTTGTCTTTCATTCAAATAAGCCAAAAATACATTTCCTTTTCTCAGTCTAGAAAGCTCCAAATTCAAAAATAATTTCACATTTCTTCTACTTAAATGACCCATTTTAAATTCACATTCATCTTTCCAGAGGTAAAGTATCCCTTTAAGGATAATGTGGAATTAAGGCCTGTGTGGCCCAACCTCAGTCTGGTTAGAACAACTTACTCATGCCTATTAAGACCCAATGAGGTGATTCTTTTCCCTCCTGCTCTGGTTCCCATGATAGTGTCTGGCATTAGTCTGATGTCCATTCATCTTGCAACCTTAACATGATCTCTGATTTAATTAATGCTTTAGCATCTCCTTTGCCCAATGCAATGTGAATTCCTACTTGATCTAATTCCAGTGTTTTTTTTTAGCTAATTTATCAGCAATTTCAATGACCTGGAATCCAACGGAAGTGAAAAACTAATCCAAGGCTTATACAATTTAAAAGAAGATGCTTCACCTCTAATACCAAATCTTCACATATTGCATTATCTGTTATACAACTTTGTAGTATTGCCAAAGAGTCAATACATATGACAGTTCTAAGAGGTTTAGTCTCTTCAACCCACCTAAGGGCAGTTATTATTGCAGTCATGTCTATTGAGTACACTAATGGAAAAGTCACTCACTCTATATCCATATCTTTTGTCAAATTCTGGAATATAAATACCAATACCACATTGACCTTTCTTTAGAACCATCTGTAAATATTTTCAGATATCCCTAATATGAAGTATTTATACAACTTAAACAGGCTACAGAATAACTTTGTTTGGTGAGAAGCTCACTTTATTTGCTAATAAATCAATGTTTACCTCTGGTTCTGGGAGCATGCCATGGAAGAACACAGCTTACAGCTAATTCTGGGCCATATTTCCATCCTTTCAATCCATAATGATTCACAAAACTGAATATTCCAATCAAACCCATTGGACTTTTTATAATATTCCCACCAATCACTAAGCACTGAAAGAGCTTGGTTGTTAAAACTCCCATTTTAACCCAACCCAATAAGTTAAAGACAATTTATCATACTTTAAATGAATAGTGGTTTCCTTAGATTCTACAAATAAAGAACTTGTAGGAGTTGTTTTAAAAGCACCAAGGGCAATCATCAAAGCCTTAAACGACATTCTTTCCATTTTCTCGAGGAATATCTGACATGCTGAGCTATACATTATACAACCATAGTCAATCGTTGATCATATGTGGAGACATCTCCCCAATTACGTCCAGTGACCAATCTCATAAGGCTCTCAATGTGCTATTTCCATGTAAGATTGGCATCCAACTAGCCTGGGAAAACCCAGACAACTTCCGGCAATTTTAGATTTGCTCTGAAAGTTAGTCTGGCAAAGAGCTCGTTCAAGCCCATTTCCAATCCGTCGA